TTTGAAAATATATTTTTTGCAGCTTTTAGTTTTTAATATTAATTTACAATATGGTCACCCAACACTTAACAATAGCCTCTAACCCAAGAGGTAGAGGAGCCAAATGGCTGGCTCACTGCTGCCAACTAGTGGCCAGAGGCTGAACTACAACATAAAAATGAACGGCTGGCAGGAAAGTTGACATTTTAAACCTTAATTAAAAATCGATACAGGGCTTTAGAATATCGATACAGTATCGGGAAATCAAATATTGCGATATTTCAGTGTATCGATATTTTCTTACACCCCTACTTTTTTCCAACGTTACGGAAGGCAGGCAGGCATGCATATAGCGCATGCGTCTATCGCCTCAAGCAAGCTCGGCACTCCCACTGTGACATAAAATTCTGTCTGTTTCTCTAAATGTCCGGCTGATCGCATCAAAGTCCATACTTGAAGTTTATCCTGCTGTGTTCGCTTCAAAAACAGTTTAACTGTGTTGTTTAGCTTCTCCATTTATTTACTGTTTATTTTCAGGACCTGTCTTGCTGTTCGACACACTGTTATGCAAATCATGTTCAGGATGCAGGTCAGCTGACCCCAGAAACTCTGTGTGCAGCAGCTTCATATCATCTGTTTACTGAACTTTATGACAACATAAAGGCCATTGTTAAGTGTTGGGTGRCCATATTGTAAATTAATATTAAAAACTAAAAGCTGCAAAATATATATTTTTAAACTATTTATTGGCAAATTTAGTCTAATAATTGAAAACATGGATGAAATATGAAACAAATAAAATAAAACACATACAAAGCAGAACACAGCTAAATGTATCAAAAGTATGTAGTATTAGGATTTTCTGAGACAATGAATTTTGGTTTTTCTTTTTTTTTTTTTCCAATAAGAGGTTTTTATTTAATAGAATTTTTGGACAAAAATAATCACAATATATCGCCTTGCTTACAGTATCGCAATATATCAGGATATATCATATCGTGACCCCTCCATCATGATATGTATCGTATCGCCAAATTCTTGCCAATACACAGCCCTAACTAGTTTAGTGTTAAAATTACTTTTCTGTGGTGTAAAACAGTAACTCTATAAGAGTTATGAAATAAAGATTTAGTGTTAAAATTACATTCTTGTGATGTACAACATTAACTCCATGCTTTTAACCTGGAGTAAAAGACTTGAAAATACATTTCTGACATCAGCAGGGTACAAAACATTATGATCAGTGTGCATTGTCAATACAATGCACACTATTGTGATTTGTTTCCCATCCAAGTCATCTCAACTTTGCCATGCTTCTCCTCCTGCATATGTTGTACTAGAGCTGCCATTGTAATTTATATCTGTAAAGCCCCTGTGCCAAATGATGGCTATGCCTTTTGGTGCCTGTAAAACTTATAGTTTTTGAAATATTAATGTTTAATAAATTATAATGGCAGTCAATGGAGCCTTGTATTGGTCCAATACTGCCCCCTGTTGCCTCCACACAATATGGTACAGCACCATAGTTTTATAATATTTAAACTCAGTAGTTTAGTGATTACAATATTAATATGATTGTATTTTGATGTTTTACTGTAATACTGTCTTTATGTTGTCCTATTGCTGTAATATATTGCACTTAAGTGTCAATAATTGCATTGGYAAGGTRRACTTTTTCTGTATACATACAATCCAATCCCTGGGATTGTCTTCTGCCACATCTCCTATAGTCTCATGATGAGCACTCTGGGCTTTCATGCAGGAGATCAGGGTTCAAATCCAGCTACTGCTACTTTAACAAAAATCTCTGCAAACTTCATATTGTCATACAATTACCTTAATTACAAACACCTGCTGATGTGACAAGCACAAGCTGGTATAGAAAACACATTTGAACTTGGTCAAAGTTCATTCTGCAAGTCCAATGCTGCAGGCAAAGCCATGCTGCAATGACATGTTACGTGGCAATGCACACTTGTTTTTACATCGTAAAAACCCATGTCTAGTTTTCTTTAATTTTTTTCTCCACTTGAACGAGTTTATGTAGAAGTTGCAGGGTTTTGCACGTTTCCAAAAGGATGAATGAGCACTAAAATCATTTATCTTGCGCCACAAAGCTAAAGTCTAAAATCGCAGCAGTCTGGGAGCCTTTACTGCACGACACAGTTAATGAGAAGTCTCTGGGCGCCTAATCTGGGAGTTTACGCACGAGCCCAGAGGTTAGAGTCTGTCGAGATAAAAAAACAACAACAAACAAACAAAATAAAACAACACCTCCTCCGGCGTGCAGGGCTGGTGCTGCTGCTAGCAGCTGGACTGCCCGAGGGCCAACGGCTGGACTCAGTCGAAACAATCTGGCAGTGCACGGTGCCCAGCAGCAGCATGAGACACATGGGCCCGAACGCCTCGCTGGCACTCGCCCGGGGGACCTCCAGGTACAGCGCCACTGCTGCCACTGAGGGGAGAAAACATTTGGCAACAACAAACCAAACGATGTCTTAGGGGAGACATTAGAACAGAATTCATGTGTACTAATGAGGTCTCTTCTGTGTGGCTCAGGTGTGAGATGGAACAGATTTACTGTGGTGCATAAATGAATTTAAACAATAATAACTGGAGTCACAGATTTTAAGCTTTGGAATTGTATTAAACTAAAACGYCACTGGAAAAGACATCACAAAACARTCTTTTTAAGTACGAGTAATCATGCTCAGCAAATTCTCTTTATCTACATTACAGGACAAAAATAAGACTAAGCAAAGCTGACATCTCAAGTGAAAGAAAATAAGATCAATATGCAGTAGGAGTGTGAGTTTTATTTAATCTGTTACATATGATCACACTAGCCCAGAGGTCTGCAATATTTACAACACAGAGTGGTAAAGAGCGTATACTATGATACATTAAAAATATGAACTATGCAGGCCATATGAGTCTTTTATTTTATTATGAAAATGTATTTAAGCCAATTTGTTGACTATTTAATTCTATTTAATGTTATCAAATGTAGGTTTTTAGTTCTGATTTTTATCATCAAACGAGTTTGACTTATTTTTACAGAAACCCTTATTTTAATTACTGTATTTATGATTAATATGATCTCGAGTATAATACGATCATCATTTTTTGAGCTTAAAAAGCATAAAAAAAATCTAATCATCAATAATAATCATGTATAATAC